CTGAATTTTCTATCTATATTTGTAGTCAAGGAAAGGAGCAAGCCAGACTCTCATCAAGAAGTTAGACACTTGCTGACCCCACTGTTAGTAGCAGAGAAATAGGAGGTAGAAGTTATTTTCTACCGTAACTTAGACAGTCTAATCAGTTCATTATTGGATCTCAGGATCACTACATGTTAGAGATGACCCCAAGCCACAGACATCCAGATATAAATTCCACTGAAGATCTCTATGAATCCAGGGCCAGATCTTCAGCCAGTAACTGCGCCGTTTTCCATGTAGCAATGAAACTGTCTTGAATCCAGTAGAACAGGTTCCAAAATGTAGGAAAAAAAAGACCAAATGGAGCCAGGCTGAGCTGGTGGCATGCCACACTAGGAGCAGTTATTTACCCCTCTGCCTTTTACCAGGTGACTTACCATTAACTGGAGGAGAAATAAACACAAGCACAGTGGCAAAGTGCCTCTCAGGACAGCCATGTGATATTACACACCACTTGTTCTCACTTCCCCTACAGTTAAGTTTCTCTTTCTATACCTGTTTATCATCATAGGTTGCTGGACCTTGTCTGAATTTTGACTCTGACTCTTCATCTGGCTCCACGTGCAAGAAAGCTGGACTTCTATTCTGAATGCAACTAACTTCCAAGCAAGCTCTGGGAGAAACAACCACATGAATTATGTTAGCTGCCTAACTTGGGTGATCAAATCAGCTTTAGGCTCACTCTAGAAAGAAAGAGGACATTTCTTCCAGCAGGTGATTTGAAGCATGGCCTGAATCAGTTCCTCTCACCACAACCCATGCAGGGAGCTCACCCTCCAAGTGTGATCATCCACCTTCGATGACTCAGGTACTGCGAGTTTCTCCCCTACCAGGGCAGGCAGGCAGTGATTCATCTGCACAGCTCTGAACAGATCAGCTGAGGACTTCAAGATGAAAATTTCCATGTGCGGGGCCCAGCTGATTTGCTTGCAATGACCACTGTGCTTATAAAAACCGACAAAAACAGAATCCCTTGTTGCTTTTTTGAGAGCCCAGCGAAAGCTATAAGTCTCCACCCTGAAGACACGTGAAACACCAGCTGAGTTCCCCAGAGAGAGAGAAAAATGGTGGGACCATGTCCAGGCTGAAGCACATTTTGGGTTTTTTTCCATTCTCAGCTGAGTGGCAACACATTTGAAAAAGTAGCTTGAACAAGTCGTTATTCTGGGATCCAGCAAGAACCACACACATACCTCATTTTAGTTCCACTCCCAAAGCAAGCTCTTGTATTATGAAATCTAACCACAATTACGTTTTCATAAATACTGCAGTGTCAATATCCCAGTGAGTCCCGAGTCCGAGTTAAAAGAAAAAATAAAAAGGAATATTTACAACTAGTCTTACTCATTTTGAGTACAGCCACAAAGCAGGAGTAGGAAGAACTGATTTGTAGCAACCAAGGAGTTGATACAGCTAGAATAGTTCCAGACTGATGAAGGACTGCAGCTGCAAATTAGTACTGCTTTGTCCACTCTGTCTTAAAAACTGCTACTTTACAGAAATACAGCTCTGAGACAGATTTGGGGGGATGGGGTGCTCTGAAATTTATGCCTCCTATGTAGTTTCCATGGAAACATACAAAGACCACAGTAACACTATTTGATAGAGTGAATTCTCAGCTATGAACACTATTTTTCAACAGCCACCACCATTAGCTATGCACTTTTGCCAGTGATGAACAAGAGCCTGCATGCTGCACTTGTAAAAATCTGTACCAGTGGAGGTGACCCACTGTCACTGTTGCCACTGCTGTAATGCACCACCCATCACCTCACAATGCTTGCATCCACTGTGTGGTATCCATCAGTATTCATCAAGTATCGAGGAATGTCAATGGGTGCCATTTTTTCCATATGAAGGAATTCAATGACACATTTTTGCTTCGTCTGCAGTTCCATGTCAGATGCCATTCTGTCGGACTGCCCCTCTGCTGCCATCTGTCACATGGCAACACCATGTAATGGAATATTTGTGAGAAGGTTCAATTTCTACTGCCATACCACCAACATCTGACTCTGATGTCATGGGCCAACATAATAACATAGATAGTGTTACTTTCGGAGCAGCCTTCATATATATATGTTTTAGCATGATGCAGTATATATACACAAACAGCTTGGGTTTCAAACCAAAACTTGACTCACCTATTTTTCCTGGTAGCACTGACCAGTGAACGCTAGCAATTTAATAGCAGCTCATTCTGTTTGTTTGTTTTCCTTTTATGTTATAATAAGTAATTGCAATATATTTGTAGTCTATACTACTATAACAAGGAATAATACTACAGTAACAGAAGTTGGAGCCTGGGTACCTGCTGTCTACGCTTGGCTGTGCACTGACACACTTGTCACACCTTGGCTGCAGCTTGCCTGCTGCCCATCAGCTGAGCTACCCGTAAAATAGATGCCCTACATATCCATTTCTATTGTGAATTAGGGCTTCCTAGCACTTTGAGATCTTGAAAAGAATGGCAATGTACCAGGTGCAAAGTATTTAATAACCAGGAGCCAGAAACAGAAGGGTTATCTAACTGTAAGAGATGCACAGACATTTGTATGAGAAATCAAATGGGAAAAACAAAGAGGGTGGGCCCAGCAAGCTAAGTATCGCTGGGTGAACTTTACCTCTGAATATTAAGCCAGCAGTTTCAGATCCAGGCAGGGCACCAGTCTGCCTGCAAACTGCAATGAGGTACAGCTGCTCACAAAGCCAGGAGATCCAGAGGATGATTCTGGCCAGGGATCTTTATTTTTTTTTTTTATTAGGCATTCAGTGGTGACAGCATCTCCGGACACTGAAAACATATGGAAACCTGCAGACATATGACTGCACTGAACAAAAGAAAGATGGTTTTACTTCTGAACTCCCCAGGATTCCAAACAAAAGGCTGGGCTAATGTTCCAGCAAGATATTCTGGACCAAACGCACTCAGTTCATTGGAACAGACAGCAACGTTTTAAGTTACTTTCACAGAATGTACCTAATTATGTCATCACAAACTACAAAGGCTGTAAGAACACATGCTACAGCCAAAATCTTGACATCATGCACACATGCTTAATGTCTTACTAAATCTTACAAGTACGCGAATAACATCTTTGTTTAACAACAAAGAAGCAATGCAGAGTTTACTTGTCTTAATCACTTTATGTGTAAGATTATTTTTTCTAGAAATCCATAATCATGTGAATGATTATGTTTCTGCAACGTCCTGAAAGCAGTGCTATCTCTCACTTGCTGTTATTCTTCACCCAAAAGGAGGTTTTCAATGTACTTCATCAGGTATGGTCTCTGTTTTTCCTATTTTTTGTTGTTATTCATGTAAAAACAGGACTGTGATTAACTGAAATAGTGTAATATGTTCGAAATAACTACAGTTAGTAACAACTAGCAAATATTTTCAGCTGCTTCTGTGGGAAGTCCAGCAAGCAAACCTATTGGCAGACGTAATGTGAGTGTTAGGAAATATTTCTGGAAATCAGATTTGGGACATGAAATTCTATGTATTTGCACCCAAATTCTGATTCCAAGCACTAGTTTAATCCAATCACAGCAACTAACACAGCTCAAATTTGTATCCTGTGTAGTCATAACAAGCTGCTTGAGAACAATCTACAGATCAAGATGTAATTTAAAATGCTAAATAAATTCATGAAAACACTACGCTGTTCAGAAATCATTTAAGAATAGAGAAATGAAGCCAAAAGCATTAAGTACGACAGTCTTTAAAAATTCCTTCCAAGATGACAGTGACTCTAAAACACTAATAAAATCTGATAAAATACTTGAAAAATATGAGCACTGGAAACATGATAAATATAAATTTAATGTTCCAGTTAGCACATTTATCTTTTACACAAATACCTTCACATCTTACTAGACCTCCAACTCTTGAATTGGAAGCATTCAACCATTTCCACATTTTTGATATATCTGGCTGGTAGATAAACTCCAAATATGCAGTCTTGAGTCGAATGATAATGTCTGCTGGGTACATGTTTTATATTTAATTATCAGAGCAAGTAATTTAGGGCAGACCCTTAGCATTTTAAACACACCATCCCTGCAAAACTTCTCATATTTATCAGCATTTTGATTAATGGTGAGTGGTTTTCTCTTGCCAGTGTAAAAGATAGGGTCTAAACTCAATGGACAGATGAAGAGATTACACATCACATTTTATACAGCCCCCACCATCACATCAGATGAGCCACTGACCTTTGAGAATCTGCTACAAGCAGAGTGAGTGAAAGCTTTCTCCTTCCATAAGTAGAGAGGACCAAAAGTAAATCCCCCATTTAAATATAACCTCAAGAACTGCAAAGTCATGAATATGTCATGAGATAAATAAATTCACTGTACCTGGAGAGTAGTGTTTCAGGGCCACAGCTGGGAAATAATCAGAAGTGAAGAAGAATATCTGAAGTATTTACAGCAAATATAAGCTAGACCTAAGAATACGAAGTATAATTTGGTGCACAGGGCCTCAAAAAAGCATATTTTTGAGCAGGAAGACATATTTTTCTTAAAGCCTCAACTCAACTGTTAACTCAGGCCTCCCAAATATATTCCTGCAGACAACAGATATGACTAAAAAATGTCATGGATTAATATCATCATTTGATCAGTGTGGAGACGACACAGGAAAAAAAGAAGACAGATTGGAAAGTCAAGGAAAAGATCAAATTGGATACACAGTGGTTCCAGAAAACCAACACTGTTCCAAAATGGAAACAAATATTTAACTTCCGACCTCTTGACACCTACCAAATTATCACATAAGATTCACTAGAAGGGGGCATGTCTCCATTGCAGACTTCTGTAATAAAGATAAAGCAAAAAGATACTGGCAGATAAGTGAGGCACAGACATGCAGAAAGAGACATGCCCCAGGGGCACCAGCAAAAACAAGATTTTGTCTTCTTCAATCCCCAGCTGTCCAGCCTCCAGGCACTCACCTCTACAACCTTTGGGCACACCAATAAATGGAATATGACAGCTACATGCTTCCTTCTCACTCCCTTCCTTCAGTGTTGTGTGCAGAAGGCAAGAAGGTTGGGCCAGAACACCAGTCACTGGGGCTGAGGACTGGAATTCCATTGGGCTTTATGATGCCAAGGTTACTATCTCTATGGTTATATGCTTCTCAAGCTTCACCCCTGCATGCTAAATTCACCCACATTCTACAAAGCCTATTACAAATTACATCCACCTATCAGGCAGGATACTTAAAGTTACAGTACAGTACTATGCTCAGCCCAGCCAATGACTATTATGGTCAAGAGGCTTGGAAAAAAGTCTGCACAGCAATTATATTGTCAAATTTCCTAACCACTTCAAGCAATCACTTATGAGGTCTTTTTGACTAAGCATATCCTTCCTTTCTACTCCTTTTTTACCCTCTCGATTAGATACCATGGTAATGGAGAGCTATTGGAAAACACACTATGCCTCCAGCAGGCTCCCAAGGAAGTCTGACAGCACTTTGTTCCTGGTTTCCCTACTCATGATTTGCATACCAATTTAAGAGGAACCAATTACAAACTGCAATTTGTCATCACAAACTTCACAAGATCATTTACAAAAAGAAGGTTGTAGGAAGGTTTGAATTTTGAATTTGAAGCCTTGAACCTTTGAAATGTTAGGTTGGGACTTGATTGGGAAGGAAAGAAAACATTTGACAAAAGCTGTAAAACTAGAGGTAGACAAGTATAAAAGAATCAGAAAAAGTACAGAATAATATATCTAAGAAAGAATTTGAATGCATGTCTTATTTTTAAAGGTGCACAATCAATCACACGTAGGGGGAGGGAATTCTGCAGAATTGTTTTCTTATATATTTTTTGTTTTCATGATTTGTATTTAAGGTGAACACAGAAAATCTGAAGATGTTCATGCTCAGAGCTTTCATCCTGGATATATCACTTGTCTGATAATCTTCAACACTGATATTCCCATATCAACTTTCATTTGGTAATTTAAATTTTAAGCAGTCTTGAAACTTACATAACAATGGATGCAAGACAGAGGAGAACTTTTTGGGGGTCCACAAACAGCATGCTTACACAGCAAAAAGTTTTAGAAAATAGAACATTTTATGTTCAAAATGTTTTAGAAGATAGAAAATCCTAGGAGAGTGAGTACTATTAAATTTCAAGAAGCAGAAAAGGTACATTGAGCTAGCAAAACATACCAAAAGATTTGACACATTACAAGCTGAAGTACACAGGAGTTAAGTTACATAGGATTAATTTTTGTCTGATTGTAATTACTTGTTCTAATCCTCCAAAGACTTACATTCAGTTTTGATATGTCTGTCTTAAATCTTTGCCTAAATTAATCAAGACACTTTGAACTGGAATACTCCACAACAATTAAGAATCTTGCACTCAAGAGTTGCAGTTCTACTGCTGGTGGCATCAAGCACAAATGTGTGACGAAACCTTATTCTGCTTCACTTAGCAATAATGGTCGAAGATCTTATAGCTACACATATATTTCCAAAAAGTACAGCAGAGAATGGGAAAGAAAAACACCTGGTGCCAGTTCATGCATCTTGAAATGCTGTACATATCATTACATCTGAACTACGGGATGTGATATCCAGAGAACTTTGATTTTTGATTATATTTCATTCTATCTGATATAGCGAATGAAAATTGGATAGCAATTTCAGCATCAAAAAAACTACAAGAGAACATATGCTTAAGCATACATTGAGAAAGGAATTTTATTATTTATTATACAATCGAATAAATGGTTCTAAAAACTAGTCAATGGACTCATTATCCTGTTCTCTAATAAAGGAGTGGACTTTTCTAGCCCTAACCTAACTTCAATAGCATGCAATAGGGAAGACCAGAACAGAGATACTTGCAGGTGGATGAACAAAGCAAAGGGCTTTATTAAGCACATGTAGGAATGTTAAACAGACACCTCACAGTCAGGTGAGCAAGTAGCTAAAATAGGCTGCCCAGGAAAGAGGTAGAGTACCCAACTGCCTTGAATGATCTAGAGGGTCTTTGTCAACCTAAATGGTTCTATGAGTTCTGAAATTGGAAGTGTATTAACAGTGAACCACATCCACACTAAATAAGTCAGGTTACACAAAGAGACAGGGCAAAGGAGCTGCCTCCCAAACTCAGCTGGCTGCACCACCTTGATGCAGTCGTTCACTTGGATATCTCTAAACATGTGCCTTGGATCAAGCAAATCAAACCCTTGTAAGGAATTCTTATTCTTCTAAACAAAGGAAGATCAAGATTTTGAGAATGAAATCTGAAATGGACCTGAAACTGGGAATGGTTCTGGATATTAGCAACAGAGATAAAAATAACCAATGCAATGGACTCCAATTGCTTCATTAAGAAAGCATTTGTACCCTTCTAATGGCTAACATCACTACATTCTCGAAGATAGACAATTAGAAAATACACAAAATGTGCTCCATCTAGAATCCTCCTTGTCATGTCTGCATGCGAAACATGCAAGTCATCACTTGATTTCATCCTTCAGAAGTGGCTGAATTGGACAGAACTGTCTGTTCAACAGCCTACTTGGGGTTATCTTTCAGTTGATGACCCCCACATCACTCTGCAAGGGGGATATTCCCATTACTTCCAGCAATGCAATTAACTGGGAGGCTCATTAATGAACCTGCACAAAAGAAAAATGTTTCCATTATTTGACATTTTTACTAAAACGAGCATCTCCTAGAAAAAGAAAAAAGGCTGAAATGAAGGCAAAAAAAAAAAAAAAAGAAGACGCTTTTCATGTGAGCAGCAGAACAAAGTCATTAGCTATTCCAGAGCATTTAAAATTCCCGACCTGCAAAAGGAGAGAAGTGCGCATTCCCTTCCCATGCACAGGGAACAGATAAAGATGACAGGAATAAGTAGGTATGTATACAAAGGAGCCACATTAAAGGAAATATGCTTAGACCTCAATAAACATCCCTTTTGGTGCTGAAGATATACTTCAATGTATAGTAGCATGCACTGTAGCAAAATAAAAAATAAGTCTTGCTAAAGCTTACTAAGTCTTTGTTGTGAGCAGGGATAGCTAAATGAATTACAACAAAGAAAAGACTTTGCTTTGGAGAGAGCTTCTTTTTATCTGAGTGTCGCTGAACTATGCTGCTGTCATGGACACCTAACCACAGATCTCAGCAGACAAAAGACAAAGAAAGGAGCATGACATTTGCCGTTGTGGTGTAGCAGAACAAGCGGCAGCATGAGTCATCTCCTTATTCTTGCAAGCAGGTAGAACAATTACAATATCCTTGCTTCTTCATTCAGAAGGACAGAAGAGGAATAAAATACATGCCCAAACCCATTCTTCTGTCTTAGAAAGCTTTGACTGAAATCAGATTTTTAGCAAGAACTGCAGCATTTCACTCGCTTAGCGTGTTCCAAATCCAACACATAGTCATTAAATGAAAAAATGCAGTAACTTAAAGCAAGTATGGTGAAAAACAAAACAGAAAATAAAAGAACAGTTCTGTTGAAAGAGACCTTTAAAGATCAAGTCCAACTACCTGATCCCTTCAGGGCTGACCAAAAGTTAAAGCACAGTGAGGGCATTGCCCCAGTGACCCTTGAACACTGACAGGCACAGGGCATCAACCACCTCTCTAGGAAACCTTCTCCAGTGTCTGGAGACACAGAACTGTGGCACAGAAATGTTTCCCAGTGCCCAGTCTGACCCTCCCCTGGCAGCCCTGTGCCATTCCCATCGGTGACCCGGAACAGAGCCTTGCACTTCTCTGCTCCCCATCCTCACAGAGCTGCAGAGAGCAACGAGGTCACCTTTGTGCCTCCTCCAGTCTGGACAGTTCAAGCGTCCTCAGCCTTTTCTCACAGGACACACCTACCAACCCTGTTATCAGCTTTCATGCCTCCTCTGAAAGCTTTCAAGGATCTTAACATCCTTTTTATATTGTGGAGCCCAGAACCAAGCACAGTATTCAAGGTGAGGTTGCACCAATGCTAAATCCAGCAGGAGAATCACCTCTTTTGACTAGCTATCTGTCTGTGTTTAAGGCACCCCAAAATGTGGTTTGTCCCTTGGCTGCTGGGCACTGCTGGCTTGTGCTGAGCTGCTGTCACTTGCACCTCCAGATCCCTTTCCTGCTGAGCTGCTCTCTAGCCACTGTTTTCCCAGTCTGCATCTGTACCTGGCATTGATCCATCCTAGGTGCAGCACCTGGCATTTTCCTTTGTTGAACTGCATGCCATTGCTGATGGCACAGGTCTCCAATTTTTCTGGATCCCTCTGCAACGTCTCTTATTCCTCCAGGGAGTCAGCAGTACCTTCCAGTTTAGTACTGTCAGCAAATTCATTATGATGCACATCCAGATCACCCAAATGGTGACCTGCCAGCAGCCGATGCACCCTCACCCTCTTTCATTATAATTCCAGCCATGGTTCTCCAACTCAGAGGACAGGGAAGTCAAGATTTGTCATTACAACTAAGCATCAATGTAAAACAAAAAAAGGCAATAAACGCTTCCATTGTGTCTTTATCCTTGTTAGGGGACTATCCTCTAAAATAGAAGTCCAACACTTTCCTTTTACCTCCTCCTGCTGTTGACATACTTAAAAAAGTCATTTGTTTTGTCTGAAACCATAGTGGCCAGTGTCAACTCAAGTTGAGCTTTGGCTCTTCTTTTCTTCTTGCAGACACAAACTGCAGCTCTGTACTCTCCCTGTGAAGCCAGACCTTGCTTCCAGAGGACATATGTTTTCTTTTTCTGCCCTAGTTCCAGAAGGAGCCTCCTGTTAAGCCAAGACAGTTTTCTGCCCTTCTGGGAAAAAAAAAAAAAAAAAAAGAGAGAGAGAGAAAAAGTGCATTTTACACAGATAGTGCCTCTGTAATTCATGCTGTTTAAATCATCAGTGATGGAGGATCTGGCAAGTCAATGAGTGTTGCTTAGACGACAGGATCCCATTAATTCTGCCTTCTGTGACTTTTTCCACCTAGTTTGAAGACATTTGGCCATGTTTACAATTCAGGAATTAGAAGAACCACCTCTCCAAAAAAATAATAATAATAACCAACAATATACCCTAATGTTTGCTTTAACAGATCAAAGCAC